GTTCGTCGAAACCCGCCTCTTCGTCCTCTCAGTTCGTTAAAATCCGCTTTTTTTGGCTCAAAGAATCCTCTCAGTTCGTCGAAACCCTCCTCTTCGTCCCCTCAGTTCGTTAAAACCCGCTTTTTTAGCACAAAGAATCCTCTCACTTCGTCGAAACTCGCCTCTTCGTCCTCTCAGTTCGTTAAAATCCGCTTTTTTTGGCTCAAAGAATCCTCTCAGTTCGTCGAAACCCTCCTCTTCGTCCTCTCAGTTCGTTAAAACCCGCTTTTTTAGCTCAAAGAATCCTCTCAGTTCGTCGAAACCCTCCTCTACGTCCTCTCAGTTTGTTAAAACCCGCTTTTGCCTTCCCTCGCCCTTGAAAATTTGTTGAAAATCCGTCACCCGCTTTTTTTAGCACAAAGAATTCTCTCAGTTTGTCGAAACCCGCCTCTTCGTCCTCTCAGTTCGTTAAAATCCGCTTTTTTTTCGCACAAGGAATCCTCTCAGTTCGTCGAATCCCTCCTCTAAGTCCTCTCAGTTCGTTAAAACCCGCTTTTTTTAGCACAAGGAATTCTCTCAGTTCGTCGAAACCCTCCTCTTCGTCCCCTCAGTTCGTTAAAACCCGCTTTTTTTAGCACAAAGAATCCTCTCACTTCGTCGAAACCCGCCTCTTCGTCCTCTCAGTTCGTTAAAATCCGCTTTTTTTGGCTCAAAGAATCCTCGCAGTTCGTCGAAACCCTCCTCTTCGTCCTCTCAGTTCGTTAAAACCCGCTTTTTTTAGCACAAAGAATCCTCTCAGTTCGTCGAAACCCTCCTCTTCGTCCTCTCAGTTCGTTAAAACCCGCTTTTTTTTAGCACAAAGAATCCTCTCAGTTCGTCGAAACCCGCCTCTTCGTCCTCTCAGTTCGTTAAAATCCGCTTTTTTTAGCACAAAGAATTCTCTCACTTCGTCGAAACCCGCCTCTTCGTCCTCTCAGTTCGTTAAATCCGCTTTTTTTAGCACAAAGAATCCTCTCACTTCGTCGAAACCCGCCTCTTCGTCCTCTCAGTTCGTTAAAATCCGCTTTTTTTGGCTCAAAGAATCCTCGCAGTTTGTCGAAACCCGCCTCTTCGTTCGTTAAAATCCGCTTTTTTTCGCACAAGGAATCCTCTCAGTTCGTCGAAACCCGCCTCTTCGTTCGTTAAAATCCGCTTTTTTTCGCACAAGGAATCCTCTCAGTTCGTCGAAACCCTCCTCTAAGTCCTCTCAGTTCGTTAAAACCCGCTTTTTTTAGCACAAGGAATCCTCTCAGTTCGTCGAAACCCTCCTCTTCGTCCTCTCAGTTTGTTAAAACCCGCTTTTTTAGCACAAAGAATCCTCTCACTTCGTCGAAACCCGCCTCTTCGTCCTCTCAGTTCGTTAAAATCCGCTTTTTTGGCTCAAAGAATCCTCTCAGTTCGTCGAAACCCTCCTCTTCGTCCTCTCAGTTCGTTAAAATCCGCTTTTTTTGGCTCAAAGAATCCTCTCAGTTCGTCGAAACCCTCCTCTTCGTCCTCCCAGTTCGTTAAAACCCGCTTTTTTTAGCTCAAAGAATCCTCTCAGTTCGTCGAAACCCTCCTCTTCGTCCTCTCAGTTCGTTAAAACCCGCTTTTTTTAGCTCAAAGAATCCTCTCAGTTCGTCGAAACCCTCCTCTACGTCCTCTCAGTTTGTTAAAACCCGCTTTTGCCTTCCCTCGCCCTTGAAAATTTGTTGAAAATCCGTAACCCGCTTTTTTTAGCACAAAGAATTCTCTCAGTTCGTCGAAACCCGCCTCTTCGTCCTCTCAGTTCGTTAAAATCCGCTTTTTTTGGCTCAAAGAATCCTCTCAGTTCGTCGAAACCCTCCTCTTCGTCCTCTCAGTTCGTTAAAATCCGCTTTTTTGGCTCAAAGAATCCTCTCAGTTCGTCGAAACCCTCCTCTTCGTCCTCCCAGTTCGTTAAAACCCGCTTTTTTTTAGCTCAAAGAATCCTCTCAGTTCGTCGAAACCCTCCTCTTCGTCCTCTCAGTTCGTTAAAACCCGCTTTTTTTAGCTCAAAGAATCCTCTCAGTTCGTCGAAACCCTCCTCTACGTCCTCTCAGTTTGTTAAAACCCGCTTTTGCCTTCCCTCGCCCTTGAAAATTTGTTGAAAATCCGTAACCCGCTTTTTTTAGCACAAAGAATTCTCTCAGTTCGTCGAAACCCGCCTCTTCGTCCTCTCAGTTCGTTAAAATCCGCTTTTTTTTGGCTCAAAGAATCCTCTCAGTTCGTCGAAACCCTCCTCTTCGTCTTCTCAGTGGTTCAAACCCGCTTTTTTTAGCAAAAAGGATCCTCTCAGTTCGTCAAAACCCGCTTTTTTTTAGCACAAAGAATCCTCTCAGTTCGTCGAAACCCTACTCTTCGTCCTCTCAGTTCGTTAAAACCCGCTTTTTTTAGCACAAAGAATCCTCTCAGTTCGTCGAAACCCGCCTCTTCGTCCTCTCAGTTCGTTAAAATCCGCTTTTTTTGCTCAAAGAATCCTCTCAGTTCGTCGAAACCCTCCTCTTCGTCCTCTCAGTTCGTTAAAACCCGCTTTTTGTAGCACAAAGAATCCTCTCAGTTCGTCGAAATCCTCCTCTTCGTCCTCTCAGTTCGTTAAAACCCACTTTTTTAGCACAAAGAATCCTCTCAGTTCGTCGAAACCCTCCTCTTCGTCCTCTCAGTTCGTTAAAACCCGTTTTGTTTAGCACAAAGAATCCTCTCAGTTCGTCGAAACCCTCCTCTTCGTCCCCTCAGTTCGTTAAAACCCGCTTTTTTAACACAAAGAATCCTCTCAGTTCGTCGAAACCCTCCTCTTCGTCCCCTCAGTTCGTTAAAACCCGCTTTTTTAGCACAAAGAATCCTCTCAGTTCGTCGAAACCCTCCTCTTCGTCCTCTCAGTTCGTTAAAACCCGCTTTTTTAGCACAAAGAATCCTCTCAGTTCGTCGAAACCCTCGTCTTCGTCCTCTCAGTTCGTTAAAACCTGCTTTTTTAACTCAAAGAATCCTCTCAGTTCGTCGAAACCCTCCGCGTCACCCTCTCAGTTAAATTCTCTCATTCTCAGCCTTTTTTAAATAATTTTTTGCCTCCTGAGAATAATTTTTGCTTTTTAAAAATAATTTTTTGCATCTTGAGATAATTTTTTGCGTCCTGAGGATCGTTTTTCGTTTTTTAAATAATTTTGTGCGTCCGGAGAATAATTTTTGCTTTTTGAAAAAATTTTATGCGTCCTGAGAATAATTTTTGCTTTTTGAAAATAATTTTATGCGTCCTGAGAATAATTTTTCGCGTCCTGAGGATCGTTTTTTCGTTTTTTTAAACAATTTTTTGCGTCCTGAGAATAATTATTTGCATCCTGAGAATCGTTTTTGCGGTCACTTCAACGCTGCCTCTCCTGTCATTTGTTGTATTCCGGAAAAACGGGCCGCGGGGGGGACGTTGGTGTGCATACGGGAGATGAGCACGTCGCGCCGGACATTCGTGTTGCTAGGCGTCGTCCAAGACAGCCACGTTTTTCGAGTGCGCGCGCAACCCGGATGCTCCGTTTTTAGAAATCTTCCACGGCGAAACCTGAATATTCTCAAATTCTTCCAAGATATGTTGATCTGACAACAACAACTACGCTACGCTACTGAACGCTACACTACGAGACGTACGCTACATTAGTCTACGCAACGTAACTAGCGCAAACATAACGCTACTCGAGACACAGCTCGCTAAGCTGGGCAACACTACGCTACTAATACGACTACGGAACGTGGCTGTGGAGCTTAACAATCCATTTCGTAGCGCAACATAACGCTACGCTACGACCACGCTAATCTACGCATTGTTACGCAACGTAACGTAGTGCGACGTACTACTGCTCGCGGTACAGCTCGCTAAACTACGCTACGCTGCACTAATCTACATTTACACTAACCTAACTACAACCTAATCTACTAACACTACATTACGTAGCGCTTGATCCATCCATTAAGAGAATTACCGTACGCAAGGCTTTGCGACGTAGCGCAACGTTACGCTACTCGGGGCACAGGCTCGCTAGGCTAAGTAAGCTCGGTTCCGCTACGTTTCTATGGCTACGGAACTGGAATTTCGGGTGATACAGGTAAATTAGCTGGGAGACGGCGGTTTAAAGGGACCGGAAAGGCATTTCTATTGATTTCTGGTTGTGGATTTGTCTACGAAAATCCGAATTGTTGCCTTGCCGGGGCCTTTTGGGATAGAAATTCTTGAAAGCTACAGCAAGCACAAAACACAAGCCAATTTCAGGTAAATAAACTCGTCGACTACGATGAAATCTCGCAACAGATGCTCGTCACCGAACCCTGGAGCTCCGCAAAGTAATATCTCTGCCTCGCTCTCTCCCATTCTCCCTCTCTCTCTCTCTCTCTCTCTCTCTCTCTCTCTCTCTGTCTCTCTGTCTGTCTCTCCCTCACTCTCTCTCTCTCTCTCGTTTATAACCCATATTTCAAGGGACTGCGAGTACCCACAAATCCTGCTCATCGAGACCCGGCGAAAAGCCAACGTGGAAAAGATGCAGATCCTGGCGCACAATCGCTTTATTCGTAAGTTGGTGTATCGCGGAAATTCTGTACTTTATAGCCCAAAAAATCGAGATCGAGACGAACCGGCAGCATATATTGAGTGAGGGGGAGAAGAGCTATACGAGGCTTGGGTAAGTGGAGAGAGAGAGAGAGCGAGAGAAAGAAAGATAGAGCGGGAGATAAAGAGAGAAAGAGTGTGTGAGAGAGCGAGAGAGAGAGGGAGAGAGAGAGTGAGAAAGTGTGAGAGAAAACGAGTGAGAGAGAGCGAAATTGATTTTATTTTAAAGGGGCATGGACAAAAACCATCGATTTAGGGAGGTCTCCTTCAAGGAAAAGAAAAGCTCTGCCACAAAGCACGAGCTCAAAAGCGTCTTCATGGACGAAACGCTATCCAGAATTCGGCTAAGAATCGGCGAAAATTACATAAATCGACACTCGAACCCTTATAACCAGGTATGTCTATTAGTGCGTATGAACTGGTAACCGTAGGTGCGTAAGTGCCTACGAGATTCTGCTCAAAACTTGCTGTAAAATTCAATTTTTGTTTTTTTTAGGTCGGTCTGATGCAAATCAAACTTTTTGGCGCCTACGTTCCGGAGGAGCCGGAGAACTACTCCTTCAAATATGTTGACGAGAAGGGGAGGCCGAAAAAAGTAGAGGTACGGTAATTTGTATAATTTATTCGGTAAATTTTGAACTTTTTTGGCTATTTCTATACATTTTTATACATTTTTTGAATCGACAACATTTAAAATGATTTTTAGCAATCTTTATAGTTTCTTAGTTTTATAGTAGTTAGTTTTATAGTTTTATAGTAAAAACCGTGTAAAATGTCATTAAAAAATCGGTTATTTTTAGAATCAGTTTCCCTCCCCCCGGTTAGCGCCCCCCCCGCTAATAGCCCAGAACCGCTCTTCAGCACGATGGCCTCGAATCCTCGAGCGAGATGATCGACCACAAATATACTGAAGAGATGTTGTCGCTCGGCGGGATTTTGGACCGGAATAAGAAGCGCTGTGTACAGGTTGAATTTTCTCTTTCACTTTATCGGTTTTTGTCTAGGAAGAAAACTTCAAAAAGGCAAAAGAAGCGCAGTTGGCGCAACGATTGCTGAAAAAAGCTACGAAAGAAATGGAGGAGCTGGAAAAGGACAAGAATGATGCGATTCAGGTATGTGGGACCTCTATCTCTCGTCCTATCTCTCTCTCTCTCTCTCTTCTAATTCTATCTCTATCTCGTTTTCCCTATATCTCTATCTCTCGGCCTATCTCTCTATCTCTCGCCCTATCTTTCCTTCTCTTTCGCTATCCCTCTCTCTCTCTCTCTCTCTCCCCCCCTTTCTCTCTCTCCCTCTCTCGCTCGTTCACTCTTTTTCACCATATCATCTCAAATCCTGACTCTCTCTCACACTCTTTCATTGCTTGCTCTCCCTCACTCTTGTTTTCTCTCGCTCTCTTTCGCTTTCACTCTCATTGGCTCTCTCCAACTCCGCTCTCGCAAGCTAGAAAATATCCTTGCGGAATCTAAGTCTATTTTCTCCTTTAGGAAGAAGACTTCCAACGTGCCCAGGACCTGAAAGACGAAATGAAGACATTGAGAGCAAACGTTCTAGCAGCTATCGATCCAAAACTACTGGAGGATGTACCGGTTTGTCAAATTTCCAGATTATCTAGAGCATAAAATATCGCCAGTAAGACCAAAGAAATAAACTTTTAGAATGATCCCGGGCCCTCTTCCGATGACGTCACAATCCGAAAGCCGGCCTCGATCTACGAAACGGACGGGCTGGTGCCGCCTCCCAAGCTTTTCCAACCAATCCGTGGGCTTTTTTGCGTACTTCGTGGTACCGAGCCAATAAGTAAATTGGCAATGTGTCCTGAAAACATTCCCTAAAAACTGTACGAGTTTTCAGAGCTGTCCCCCCGGTCTACGGTGGGCACCTCGGCCAGTCACCGCGTAAAAACGGGTGTTTCGGCCATCCCAGACTCCCCCACCCCACGCGAGGATCGGCACCTACTTAATGGCAGTCCGACACGCTCCGAAATACGCAGCCCGAAGCCGATAGGTCAGGGGCGTACTGTCTTTAACAAAAAATTGAGCTTCAGGCGATCTACCACTCCGACCGGTTGCTAGGTCACCAATCAGAAAATCGCCAAAACCAGCGACACCTCCAAGAACCTCGAACTCGACCAAAAGCCCGACCAGGACACCGTCGAGGAAGATACGGTAGGCCGCCCATTCTCATTGGTGGGTGTTTTTTATAGGTCTTTCCCAAATGCTCTCTGCGGTCCTGCCTGTTCCCAACACAAAAGATCTGCGCTAGCCTGCCCCTTCGATTCCCAAATGATCTCTGCTAGCCTGCCAGCTATCAAAATAATCCTTCCAGTTCTCCTCTCGGCAGTTCCTTCGAAGCTGACCATCGCCAGAACGGCTACGATTCTCCGGCCGATTTCCGGCGGCTTCCAACGTATGTTACTGTAATACGGTTGCTGTATCCTAGTGATCTTGTAGTTATAGATTTTACTTTCAAATATATAAGACTTTCATTTTAGCGCCCAAGATTTGGCAAAAAACCAGGTATAACACCAAAAACCGGCTAAAAGTCTAGAGCGCTTTCAAATTGTCGTTTCAGTTTTGAGCCGATAGTTTTATTTGCAGCTTAATATTATGCTCTTTTCAGTACCGCGAGCACGCCCAGCTTCCATGAACGGCGTCCGGCCACGCGCGAGTCCTATATCCCGGCCAGATCGGAAAAGTCGAGACAGAAGACTTCCGGAAATCGCTTCTACGAGAAGGAGAATATGGTGGTTCCGGCAGCGCTGAAGGGGTAGGATATAATTGTAAAAACTTGTTTTTGCCGAGCAATTTAGCCGTCGAACCTCGGACCCGGAAATTCAGACGCACCGTCGGCACCGCGAAGAGCCGCCAGGTGACTCTAAAAATGTCGAAAAATATTTTTGGCCAGCCTACCAACTGGCACTGGACTGTTAGCGGGGGGGGGAGGGGCCAAAATTCCCCCTTAAACTCGTATGGTCCCATGACGAAACATAAACCAATTTTATGGTCTTTTATAGGATTTTTAGACGCAAAAAGGCATGTAGGCCAAATTGTTTCGACTTTTCTAAAAGATCACAAAAAAGGGAAAATTTTGAAAATTTCAAAATACATAAAATTCATGATTTGCTAGCAATAAAAAGCCACCATCAAATTTAAAAATACATTATTTTTATGAACTAGGCGAAAAAAATAGCGAGCTTTGCACCGCTCGAAACCTCGCGCTTAAGTCAGGGGACAGCACAGTACAGTACGATACAGTACGGTACAATACGATATAGTACGGTACAGTACATTACAGTACGGCACCGTACAGTACAGCACAGTACAGTACATTACCGTACAGTAGACAGGTCCGTACAGTGCCGTACAGTACCGTACATCGTTCCGTAACCTACAGACCGTACCCCAAAATCTGATTTTTAGCCCTGACCGAAGCTGAGTTCCTCGACGCCATCCACTCTTCCGACAGATCAATGGCTTCGAGGGCCATTGATACCTTTGGGTTGACTACGGTAGCTGGGTCAAGTTCTAGCAAACCCTTAGTTTCTAGGTCCAAAAAATCTATTCGAAAAACTTTAACCAACGCCGCGAGGGGCTGCAAGAGCTGCAGGAGAAGCTGGAGAACAGCAGTGGGGTAGGCTCTATAGCTTCACTAAGTTTAACAAATGATACGTTAAAAATCTTCAATTTTAAGGAAATTATTGAAAAGCCAGCTTTTTCAAGGTTGTAAATATTTTGATACATTAATTTTTCAGTTCGAATTAAACCAGATTTTAGCCAAGTGGGTATATTTAAACAAAATTGAGAGAGAAGAAACGCAAAAACCGTACATTACAAATTTTATTGGCTAAGCAAATTGTTACAATTCGACCGTAGCTTTGGTTAAAGTGCCATTTAGCAATTTTCAGACCAAAAAGGCGGGGCCGGCGCTGGATGCGGCACTTCCGCTTTTGACAAGATCCTTACGGGATACGCTATATGCGGTAGGTACTCGCAAAGCGCCAGAATCGACCCCTTCAATCGGCTAGTTCTAGACAGCCACGCGACACACCGAATAAAATATTCCTCCTGGGTTTGTAACATGCTTTTTGGCGCGTTGCGTAGCTGTCGAGACCTAATCGCTGGAAGGGGTCGATTCTAGGGTTTCATGGTTCCTTGAAAACGCATTTTTAGGTCTACACCTCTGCCCTCGACCTATTCCGCTACATTGGCGAGACCTTCATCCCCGAGAACCGTCTCGAAAAGTCGGGTGCTCAGAAATACGCAACGGCTACGGCAGAACCTCTTATTTCTGTGCTCGGAAATTCGGCAAAGGTACAATACACGGCATACCGTAATCACAAGGGCTTTAGGACCAGCGACTACCCAGTGAGACGGTAGACGCGCTGTCAGATGTGCTGGCTGCGGATCCAAAGGCAAGATGGCAGAGATCATTTGGGAATGGAAGGGGCAGGCTAGCAGAGATCATTTGGGAATGGAAGGGGCAGGCTAGCAGAAATCATTTGGGAATGGAAGGGGCAGGCTAGCAGAGATCATTTGGGAATGGAAGGGGCAGGCTAGCAGAGATCATTTGGGAATGGAAGGGGCAGGCTAGCAGAAATCATTTGGGAATGGAAGGGGCAGGCTAGCAGAGATCATTTGGGAATGGAAGGGGCAGGCTAGCAGAGATCATTTGGGAATGGAAGGGGCAGGCTAGCAGAGATCAATTTGGGAATGGAAGGGGCAAGCTAGCAGAGATGATTTGGGAATGGAGGGGCAGGCTAGCAGAGATCATTTGGGATGATTTCAGATCTGCAAAGCATTCATGCCTCGCTTGCTGGCCCGCTTCGAGTCGGGTGGGCAGAAAAGCGACCGTCCGAGGGCGGAAATCGTCTATGAACGAGCAAAAGCGCTGGGAATCCCGCAACCGGAAGCGTGCGTTTCCGCAGCTTTTCCTAAAATTAAAAAATCCTAAAAATTCGTTAATTTCAGCGGTCTCGACGAGAAGGCCGTTGGGAAATTTTCGATAGCCGCGATGAAACATTCGGATTCTGAGGTTGGTGATGACTCCTCTATTTTAAAGGCACTATGACAGCGGAAGCAGCAGACCAACGCTTCCTTCTTTTTTCAGGTGAAAACGATCGGGAAGAAGTTCTTCGTTATGGTCTATGAAAATGGTGATCGGAAAGCCTTAAGGTAGATGGCTAATTAACTTTTTTTTGCGATTTTGGCTGTAAACTTCAAACCGGATCCGACTGTTTAAAAAAATACCAGGGTTGAAAAGCCGCTTCGCGACTTTTCAACCCTGGCCTCTCTGCGGGGCCCTTTGATACACGGGAACTGCATATTATAATTTGCATTAATACCAGGGTTGAAAAACCGCTTCGCGGCTTTTCAACCCTGGCCCCGACCTATCCAATGATATTCTTGGCTTTGCATAATTTTCGCGAATTCCGATGACGAAAAATGAAAAATGCTCTTGCCGTCCCTTTATATAGGCCACCGCGACTTCCGGTGCATGCTAATTTGATCCTAAGAAATTGGGTTGCCCGATTTTCCATGAAAAACTTAATTTTAATGCCGAAAACATCATATTTTGTAAAATCTGATATGTGTGCAGTCATCTCCAGCCCATTACGCACCTAATGACGTATCGAACATATCCCAAAGTATTTCCCTTCTTGAGATACTACTGGAACACGGTGACGGAAGTTGCATGCAAATGTACACACACACACACACACAGACACTATTTTTTATATATAGTAGGATTACGAGTTACGTTAGGGAAAGGCACCACAGCAATTACTTGAGCAACCGACTCGGAACCCCGCAAAGCCCAGAATGAGCCGAATTAATAGCCGTATGCAAATTAGTCTATTTCCATATGGTTTTAAATCGCTAAAATAAGATATAAAACGTCATTTTAGTAAAAATCTGATAAGCGCGCAGTAATCTACGCCCTCGATTACCCCCTAACCACTTTACTTCTGAACCATAAAGCCCTCTTCCCTTCGAGTTATGGCTGGAACCCGGGATTTTATGCAAAGTGTCCACACACACAGAAATTATTTTTTTATATATAGTAGGATAGTAGGATGTTGTCGCGCCAAAATTAAGAGTAACAAATTTTTCAATTCAGGAAAATGTTGCCAGACGACTCGCCCTCGACGCGCAATCCAGTCTACCGGCAGCTACACGAAGAACTGCGAAGGATTGACGATGGAGAGGGGAGGGGGGAGAGTCGTGGAAGGAGAACTGGGTAGAGTTATGCCAAAATGCGGATAGGGAAAAGAAAGAGTTTAGTTAAACTGACTGACTATGGTGCGCAAGATTCGACCCTTTTTGTAGTCTAGATCTGGACAGTTACGCGGCACTCCAAAAACACGCAAATCTCCAACATTTTTCTGCTCCATCAATTTCGACGTTTCTTGGCAAAATCTCTCTCTTCCACTCTCTCTCCCTCTCTCTCGCAGCCTCGCTCCCGCTCTCTCCCCTCTCTCTCATCCGTTCACTCTCTCTTGCTCTTCCACGTGCTTCTAACAAAATTTAGCTGTCCTGGCCTAGCCGTTGAAAGGGTCAATTTTGCCGTTGACCGGTACCTTTAAAGGCGCCGTCTAGGCATCTACTAAATATCAACAATGGAGATAATTCTAAAACTGATGAGTATGTTTTCAGCACCTCTTCCTCTTCCACCAGACGTCGTGATTCAGATGCCTCCGAATCCAGAAAACCGCTGAAAAGCAATTTGCGACCAGCAAGCGTTGGGAGATCGAGATCCGGCATCCGGAAGCAGACGAGGTTCGCCGATGAGCATTATCGTTCCATGTGATTGTGAAATTTGGTGAATTGTGTTAGCTTAGTTGGCCTTCAATAATGTTTTTCAAAATTTGTCGTTGCCTACTGTATCTGTTAAAATGGCCTGGCAAGAATCTGTGGTTGGTGGGGTTGGTGTAAAACAGCAAAATTCTTCCATAGACGTGGCTCACGAGTCCGACTCCCCACCGCCGAGCAGCCCGAGCAAAAGGAGGAGCTCGACCTGGATAAGTGAGTTTTGAAATTAGAAATCTTACCGTCGAATGCCGGCAGCCAAAATACCGACAGCCAGAATCCAGACAGGAAAAATGGCTAGGCTAGGCGTAGCTTAGGCTTAGCTTAGGCTTAGCTTAGGCTTAGCTTAGGCTTAGCTCAGGCTTAGCTTAGGCTTAGCTTAGGCGTAGCTTAGGCTTAGCTTAGGCTTAGCTTAGGCTTAGCTTAGGCTTAGCTTAGGCTTAGCTAAGGCTTCGCTTAGGCTTAGCCTAGGTTTAGCTTAGACTTAGATTAGGTTTAGCTTAGACTTGGGAATTAACCCAATTTTCTCCAGAATGTGCATGTTTTGCGGGGAATACCGTGAAACTTTTAACTCGGATGCCCTCGACAATCACTACCTGAACGAGTGTCCGATGCTCAAGAAATGCGAGCATTGCAATGAGGTAGTTTTCTGCGTGTTCTAAAGGGTTCGACAAGCGCCAAAATCAACCCCTTCTATCGACTAGGTCTAGACAGCTACGGTACAGGCTAAAATCCCATACAAAGCCGAAAGATTGAATAGGTTCTCTGGGGGTTTGGCGTGGCTGTCTAGACCTAGTCGATGAAAGGGTTGATTGTACGTACTGGCTCCTTTAAAGTTAAAGATTTATCTGCCTAAGTCCAAGAAATCTCTTCCCTGCGGGACCACTATCTGGTTGAATGCTCCGGAAAGGCGCACAAGCAGTGCCCGCGCTGCAAAGAGCCCATCGAAAAGTCACAGTATGCCGCGCATCGAAATCCGACGAAATGCAAATGTAGGGAGAGAGCGAGAGTGAGAGAGTGAGGTATAAGGGAGAGAGAGAGAGAAAGAAAGGGAGAAATTTCTGCCTATTTCACAATCTACAGTGACTTCTGCCAATTCCCCGGCCGGCCGTTGTGTCCTCTGCCATACTGACGTGCTACCAAATAACGACATCGGCTGGAGACGTCATCTGCTGGAAGAATGCGGTGCTCATAGTCCGAAAGAGCCCTCGAAAGGTGTTAAAGATATTTCGTAGATTTAGGCCAACAATTTTACCCATTTCAAAAAGGTTTCCAAGACATACAAGGAACGACCAGATCAACCAATGGCGAAGAATCAGCCTTTAAATGGACTTGTAAGCTCGAAAATCGACCCCTCTTGGCGACTAGGTCTCGACAGCTGCTAGCGTCACAAAAATTCAAATCAAAGCTTTTCTAGTTTATAAAAAGCTATAGGTTTGAGCAAAAATATCTGGACGCTTTCCATGATTTTGGCGCGTCGCCCAGCCATCTGGACCTAGCCAATGGATGGGGCCGGGTTTCCACTTCCCAGCTCCTTTAAAGAGAACGAAGAGTAATATTTTTGGGGTTTTTATCGGGAACTTTTTAATCAATCTTTTTAATCACCACCCCTTTAAAAAGCATTTCCAGCACTTCGCGGCATCCTGAAGAAGCGCAGCTCGATCGCAAATGACGACAAATTATACGTCCCCCGAAGAATTAATCTTTGCAATAAATTTTTGTAATATTTTTTACAGTACACCGCGCCAAAAATTCGCCTTTTTTGTATTTTTCTGCTGACTCACTTTCGTATAGCAAAAACCGGAAACTTTCGAAACGCGAAAATCCACGAAATTAATTCCCGACATTTGGAAGTTTCTGGAATTTCGGGGTACTTATGATTCCATCGTATCATTTTAATAAATTCCGGACGTGGAAAAGCACGAATTCTTCCCATTAATTCCAGAGAAATCCAGTTTTTCAGGCTTTTGAGGAACTTATAGTTCCACCGAATGACTTGCATTAAATTCCGCGGGAGGGTATATAAGGGAAAAGTCTATATAATCTCCGAAAGCGGCCCAAGAATCATTCTAATTTTCTCAAAAACTATCTTCCTACGACGATTTTATAACCTTTCTTTGAATTTTTTCGGTACTGGACTTTTAGCGGGGGGGGATTTTCAGCAGGGGAACAAATTTTTCTTTAGAAATTAAAAAATCGCACATTCTTCAATTCCAAAATTCAGTCCTTTTTCCCGTTGTTCATACATTTTTGACCAAAAACCTACAAATTGTGAAAATTTAGATATGTGCTTGTGAGGCTTTTTTATTTGAAAATTTGGTAAAATGCTAAAAAAATGTTTTTATTTTTGTTCGTAGGGACGTACAGGATTTTGGGAAAAGTTTGGCTTGCCCGCTCCCCCCTCCCCCCCCCCCGGCTAAGAATCCAGTACCAGTTTTCCTTAAGATACCTTTACCGTCATACTGTACCAGACCACGTTCCTTGCGTATTGTAGCGTACGGTAGCGGACCACATAAAATTTTAGCTAGAGTATGGGAATGGGCTACGTTACCAGCGCTGCTGTACTACCGCAATAGGCAACGAGATCACCATACCCGCGGTAAGGTAATTTATTACCGTACACCTACTTCCAAAATAGTTTTTTTGGAACACCGTACTTTTCAGAGTACTGTAACGGTCTCCCGTATTTTATTTTAGCGCAAGTACAGTAATGTACACTCGTCGTAGCCTGTACGGGCGTACTGTAAAGTACTAAGCTAATCCGGCCATAGTACCGTGCTGGAGTATGGTACTTGCCGGGTCCAGAACTACAACAATCTGGCCATAGTACTGTAACGAACTACAGTACTTGCCGGAGTACGGAGTACTGTAATGGACTACAGTACTCGAGGCGTTCTACCCTACCCAGCTACAGTACGCCTGGCGCCTCGTCGAATCTCAAATAATTGGAATTTTCCGCTTACCTCGCCTCGTCATTGTGATCGATGTCCACCAGGTTCAAGGCCCGCTTCGCGGGCCCTGCACCTGAGAAAAGACCTAGCCGGGGAGGGCCTCCATTTAGGATTTGGTTTTCGGTACTTTCGCATTATCGGGGGGGGGCGGATAATTTTTCTAAAAATTTAATATTTTGAATGTAAATACAGGAATTCGTTCTAAGCTGTTTTTTATCTATTCCGAAGCGTAAAAAATTTGAAATTTGGATTCAGAATTCAAATTCAGTTTTTTGACAGAAATGACCGAAGTTCCACCAAAATTTCAACTAATAATTCATAAGCCTAAGCAAGTCTAAGCACGTTTGCTCGCCGTCACCTCTAATTCATCAAAACTTGGCAAAATGTAAAGCTGCGCTGAAAATGAATTGGAAAAACATATGGATCTCCGAAAACAGCATTTCTTTTAGGAGAAATCGTTGGGCAACGTCAAAAATGGCATGAAAAATGTGAACGCCGGCATCGCTATTGCTGAAGGGAAGAAGAAGCCAGAGGAGGTCCTCCAGCCGAAGGTTCGTCGGCGACGGAGAGATAGAGAGGGAGCGAGAGAGAGCAAGAGAGAGCGAGAGAGAGAGAGGGAGCAGAGAGAAACCGAATTAGAGAGAGGGGAGAGCGAGAGCGAGAGAGAGAGGCAGAGCGAGATGAGAGAGAAAGAGAGAGAGATAGAGAAAGAGAGAGAGAGAGAGGAGGAGAGAGAGAGAGAGAGAAGAGAGAGAGAGAGAGAGAGAGAGAGAGAGAGAGAGAGAGAGAGAGAGAAAAATAGAGACAGAGACAAGGGGAAAAACCGTACCTAAAAAACCCTTGCAAAACTTCGTTACAGTTCGTTAACATTTTGTTGTACCAAAAGTATTAACTTATGCAAAAATTGTATTACGTTTGCCTAGTTTTTTATATCAACATATTTTAAATTTTCACTAAAATAAACTAAATGTTGAGAAAAACATGCGACAAGTTTGTATTAGAAATAATTCGTAAGAAATAAATTATTCAATAATGAAGCACCAGTTAATAATTAAATTAATAAATTTCGGCCTATTGAATATCGCGAAATTTGAACATTACCAAGGGACCCTTTTAGGCCATTGAAAAGATGAACGCGAAGGCGGCGAAAGCGCAGACGCAGAAGAGGATGGACGCCAGATCAAGGTTCGCGGATGAATTGGGCGTGAACAGGGACAAGATCCGGTACTCGCAATCCAGTATGTATACCTCCAAAAAGAAACAAGCCCATTTTTTAGACTACCACTATGAAATCCAGAAATATGGCAACACCGTCAATGCCAAACAGAAGGCCGGCAAACCATTTTTCAACTCGAAAATGGAAAGGTTGCAGATGGTCGATGCCGCGGTTGGGGTGAGTGTTGCCAGATACACGGCCCCTGCTCTCTCATTCTCTCCCTTTTTTTTTTTTTTTTTTTTTTTTTTTTTTTTTCTCCCTCTCTCTCTCTCTCTCTCTCTCTCTCTCTCTCTCTCTCTCTCGCTCTCGCACCTCGCTTTCACTGTTTTTCTCTCGCATAGATGCACTGTATCTCTCTCGCGCGCTGCCTACTGTCTCTTTATCTGTCTCTCGCTCTCGCTCTCTCACTGCCTGTCTCTCTCTCCTTTTCACTCACGCTCTTGCTCCTTTACTCCCGCTCTTTCACTTCTGAGCTCGAGCTCGTGCTCTTCCGAACGAAGCCTTGGCTCCTCCAAACTGATGCTCTCACTTACGCTCATGTTCTCCGGAAGTCACACTCTCTCTATCCCTCAAGCTCTATTGCACGCTTTCTCTCTCTCACTCTCCCTCTCTGGCTCTCTTTTCTCGAGTTAAACGCCATTTACAGGCTGGTCTACAAACCGGTCAGGCCATCTGCGAACTCACCGGGTTCAACCCCCGCCAGGAGTTGGACAAGGTACCTCATTTTTGCATTCAAGGACCGAAAATCGACCCTCACCTTGACTAGATCTATACAGCGTAACGAAGTAGACTGCGCATTCTAGATATAGTCCAGGAAAGGGACAATTTTGGCACTTCCTAGTCTTTTTAATAGGCTGCCCCATTTTAGCTGATCGGCAAGGACATCATGCCAAAGGTGATGATGGCGTGGAAGATCATCCAGGGGCCACTGCAAATAATCGGAGCGCTCTACCCGCCCCTTGGGATTGTGGGTTATATGAATGTTAACGGGAAAGGAGCGAGAGAGAGGGAGCAAGAGAGGGAGCGAGAGAGTGATAGAGGTAGAGAAAGAAACAGCGAGAGAGAAGAGGGAGAGAGAGAGAGAGAGCGAGAAAGAGTGCGAGAAACAGAGAAAGTGATATGCGAGAGCGAGTGAGGGAGTGCACCTAAGTGAGAGTGAGAGAGAGTGAGCGAAAGCGAGAGAATGGGAGACAGAGAGTGCGAGTGAGAGTGCATCTGTCGTAGGAGGGCCCTCGAAATCGTCGAGGTCCGAAACATAAGGGCCCTTTTTGTTATTTTCCTCCTTTACACTTTTCAACGTTTTACGTATATGGCCTTTTTTCATTTTTTCCTCGGCCTGGTTTTGTTGTGACTTGTTCATATTTCCTCCCTTCCTGTCCACGATTTGTAGACCTTTCGTTTTTCCTCGCGCTTTTGACCGTTCGTGTTTTATGGCCGGGGGGGTCGTTTTGGGCCGAATTTCGTTGGCTCTGTGTGTATGAGAGAGTGTATCTATGAGAGATAGAGAGAATAAGAGAGAGAGAGAGAGAGAGTGAGTGAAAGAGTGACAGAGTGAGAGAGAGCGGAGCGTGCAAGGCAGAGAAATTGGTCTCTTCAGGCGGTCGGCATCGTCAGCGGGATCATGATGCTGCTCGACCAGCCCCCGCCCACGGATGCCCCGACCCCGGACCCGATCTACGACTACCTGGCCGAGATGCACAATTCGCTCTCCAACCAGCTGGCCGACCTCAGCGACCAGGTCAGTAGGATATTTCGCCATCTAGATTTTGTGATGCTAATTTGATGGGGGTCCGTCGGATTGGTGCGTAGCTGTCTAGAGCTAGTCAATAGAACGGGTCGAATTTGACACTTCCTTGTCCCTTTAAAGCTCGCGAGCTCCTTCCAGATGACGAAAGGGTTCAAAGACCTGAATCTGGCCATCGAGAAGCAGACCCAGCAGATCCTCGACCGGATTGAGGACGAGTGGGTGCGAACGACGTTGGTTTTCAACGATTACGCCTGGATCCCAAGATTTTTAGCATCAGCTCGCCGATGAAGATTCTGTATAGTCGGTTGGACACCTTTAAAGAATTCGGCGATCGGCTGTCGTGGCTCGAATTTGAATACGCGATCAAGCAGTACGATCCGTATGGGGTGGCGAAGGTAAGGAGTGAGAGGGAGTAAGAGAGAGGGAGCGAGGACGAAAGAAAGAGAGAAAGAGAGAAGGGAGAGAGGTGATCTTTGACAAAAAATCAATTTTATGAGGATTTTGACCCCGAAAATAGGATGACAGAGAGATAGAGAGAGAGGGTGAGATAGACAGCGAGAGAGACACAAGCCTTTTTAAGCGCATCACCGAAGAGTACCGGGATCGAATGAACTCCCGCCTGAAAAGCCACGATTTTGACCCGAACATCCTCGACGAGACGAGCCGCCTGTTGCTGAACATTCATTTCCAAGCGGTGAGGTCTTAGAGAAATGAAAAAGTAATGTCCTCCCCAACGCTATTCAACGCTTAAAAATGTTTAGTAAAATCAACTGACTTTATTTAGATCGTCCCATTCTCCACCTACCACGGAGCCATCTGGACGAACGACACGAAGTCGCTGAAGGCCTACCTCGACCGGATGGAAGACGACTACAACGCGTTGCTGGCGATGGATACGGAGGTGGGCGTCTCTCTCGCTCTCTCTCTCTCTCTCTCCTCTCTCTCTCTTTATCTCTTCTATTTCCGATTTCAGCTCCGCCAAATCTGCGCCGACTACCACATCATCGCGCACGGCGATTCACAAAAGGGGCAGGAAGTACTCGCGGCAAGTATTCCTGATATGAGTGAGAGAGAGAGAGGGAGAGAGAGAGAGGGAAAGAGGCTGAATGACATCACCACAGTTCCTCATAAACACGTAACAGTCGCCCCTTCTAGAAATTGGCCCAGGGCGTCTTCGGCCAGATCCACCCGCACAACGGCGATTTCGGGGAGGCGTTCTCGGCCGCGCTGCAGGAGCGCTTTTCCTGGTGAGTGGAAGAGAGGACGAGAGAGAGAGAGAGAGAGAGAGAGAGAGAGAGAGAGCGAGAGAGATAGACAGTGCGAGAGATATATTGAAATTTACAGGGTAACTGCCGACGGGAATCGGACCGCAGCGGCGAGATACGCAATCGTCGCCAAGACCGTGCAGGATAAGCAAGCTGTGCGGGATTGGGGACCGCTGCAAGAAATCGAATCCGGGCTTTTCATCGGGGCAAGGGTAAGCGGTCCTATCTTAGCAGTTCTCTCTCTCTCACTATCCCTCTCTCTCTCGCTGTCGCTCTCGCTCTCCCTGTCTCTTTCTCTCTCTCTCTCTCTCTCGCTCTCTCTCTTTCTCTCTCTCTCTTGATCTCGCTTTCTCTCTCTCCCCGGCTACAACCCTCTGCTTTTCCAGTTTCTAGCCCAACATCCAGCCACGGGCCAATATTACGAAATCTACGTCCGCTCTGTCGACCTGGAGTCCACGCCCGAAACCCGGTCAGCTGAGGAGAGCGCGCTTCGGATGTGAGTCAGCTCAGCTTAGGCTTAGCTTAGGCTTAGCTTCGGATTAGATTCGGAAGCCTGCAAGGCAAAAAAAGTTTGATAATGAAATCTCTATCGATAGCGACTTTTTTAGCCAAATGGGCGAGGCGCTGATGAAGATCACCTCCGACGATCTGCCCAGCCTGCAGGCTTCGTATTGCCGGCGGAAAGTCGATTCGTTTGCCCCGGTTGGTCAAATTGATGAATGCATACCTAAGCCTAAGCCATGCCTAAGCTAAGCCTAAGTTGAGCCTAAGCCACTATCCAAACGAATTCAGGACGCCAACGGCACGATGATAGCGGAGCCTGGAGATCTGGAAAAGTGCTCCGGGGCGATGCGCATCGAGAAAGGTTGGAAAAATTCGGAAAATTCAGAAAATCGTTTAATCGTTTAGGAGAGCTGGATCAGCTTCACCTTTGGCCCCCGGAGGGGCAGATATTCAAGGAGGGCGGAGGGTTGATTCCGGTAAGAGAGAGATAGAGAGAGCGAGAGGGAGAGAGAGCGAGAGGGAGAGCGAGAGGGAGAGAGTACGAGAGTGAGAGGGAGAGAAACAGAGTGGGAGAGAACCGACTAGAAAGAGAAAGTGAGAGAGACAGAGTGAGCGAGAGAGCGAGAGAGAGAGCGAGGGAGAGAGAGGGAGAGCGAGAGAACCGAAGGGAAGAAGAGAGTGAGACAGGTAGAGAGAGACAGATAGACAGCGGGAGAAAGCGAGAAAGAGAGCGAGAGAGCGCGAAAGCGGGAGGGTGCGAGCTAAACCCGAAAATTTTCCTTTTTAGGGCTGTTGCTTCGGCAAGACAATGGCCAGGGTGTGCCACTGCGTCTTGTGGCTGAGCTAAGACCTCCTCCCTTTTTTTCAAAAATAAAAACAAAAACCGCTTTTGGCGGGCTATGAATAAATTTAAATTTTGTTAAGCAGACCAGCTACTTGCAATCGATTACGCAATATATATTCACCCATTTATTCCATCACACACACTGGCAAAATAAATTAAATATTAAGAATAATTACATAACTACAAGCGGCGCCCAAAATTTACAAGACCAACTGCCGGACGGCCTGCTTGAACTGGTCGTGCAGGTTGGTGAGCAGGTGGGCGGGGCTAAAATCAGGATTTTTATAAGAACTCTCAATCGTTGGTGTCCATGCTTTTCCCAAAAAACCCCTGCTAGCTGACCTGAAGGCGGCCAGCTTGGCGATGATGGGGTTGGTGGTCTGGCTCTTCAGCTGCTCGGTGGCCTCGATGGGGGAGGACTCCTCTGAAAAGTTGGGAGTGAACCGCTTGGCTTGGCAGAGGCTTAAGCTTAGGCTAGGCTTCGGCTTAGGTGAGACTTAGGCTTACACTTATGCTTAGGCTTAGAAATTTCCCGGTTTAGGCACCCATGTGGTGATTTGAGGCTGTTGGCCCATGGGGCTTCAGCGTCATGGCTTCACAAGAAGCTTAGGCTTGGCCTAGATTCTAGGTTCAGGCTTAAGCTTAGATTTAAGCTTAAGATAGGCTTCGATTTCGGCTTGGCTTAGGATAGGATTAGGCTTAGGCTAGGTTTGTGCTTAGGTTCGAGCTTCCGGCTAGGCTTTGGCTTGGGCTTAGGCGTGAGCTTAAACTTTGGCTTTGGCTTATGTTTATGCTTCGGTTTAGGTTTACGTTTAGCTTGGGCGTACACTTCCCACCATAGCTCTTACCAGAATCGACAAAGTCAGCGGCAGAGGGGAGGGCAGGCTGATCGACCTTGGTGATGCCCTCGATCTGGTTCATGTGGGCGATACGGAGGTTCTGGAGCGAGCTGAAGGTGTTCAAAATTGGTGAACGGTCGTTTCAATATTTTTACCGCCTCTTGCGTCCTCCTCCGCATCCGCAGCATCCGCATCCTCCGCATCCACAGCAGCCGCATCCGCAGCAGCACGGGCGGCAGCAACAGCTGGAAAAAGAGGGTAGAGATCGAGAGAGAGAGAGCGAGAGAGAGAGAGAGATATAACTGTTCCTCACCATTTACGGCAGCAGCAGCAAGTGGTGCAGCACTGGCAGCAGCGGCAGCAACGGCAGCAGCAGCACCTGGAAGACATCGGGTTTTTAGGCTTGCGGTATAAACTTACGGCTTGCAGCAACAGCAACAGCACGGCTTGCAACAGCAGCAACAGGGCCGGCAACATCCGCAACCACAGCAACCGCACCCTCCACATCCGCAGCATCCACATCCCGAGCGCTTGACACGGACTCCGGTTGCGTCGACCTCGCTGAGGGTGTCGATCTGGAAAGTGGTGAAGAAAGGGGGGGGGGTTGAGAGAGAAGAGTGAGGCTAAAGGAGAGCGAGAGAGAGACGAGAGAGAGAGAGAGCACGATAGAGTACATCAGAGAAGGGCGAGAGTGCGAGAAAGAGTGAGAGAAATGGATGGAGAGAAGAGAGAGCGTGTAAAAGTGCGAGACAGAAACTAAGCGAGAGAGAGAAGGAGAGCGAGCGTGAGAGGGACCTACGGGATCAAGATAAGTGAGAAACTGGGTGTGATCTAGGAGGAGATAGCTGAATTGAGCGTCAACTCACCTCCGTCGAGTTCGAGCTGGTCGGAATCAAGGCCGTCGTCTCGGCTCCCACCGTGATCAACGCCCCATCTTCCGGCTTCGCGACAGGAACTCCCTAAAAATAATTTTTTTCAGGTATGGTGTAAGCGCAGGTAGTAATTCAGCTACAGTAACCCTACTAATGCCATACCTTGCACTGACACACGAACAACACGGCGACCAGGGCGGCGGAGGCGAACAGGCGGGTGGAGAACATTGCTGCTGCTGCTGAAATTCCCGTAAGCCCGAAAGACCCGGAAACCAAAGGGTGGCAAGGCCGGAGAGTGGGGGGTTAGAAGCCCGAAATGTGGTGGGGGAAGGGGTGTAATACGTACTAGGTATATTGTATTATTACGTAGCTGTAAAGTTGGATAACGAAAACACGAGTTTAAATATCCAGTTTTAAGGTATCGATTAAAGGCCGGCTCTATCGAAAAATTTGTCTTCAGAGCCGGTTAAAATTCAGATAAATATAACTCAGGTTTGCGGCAAAATAACAAGTCTAGGGGTACTGTAGGGGTCAACAACCCAAAGGAAAGGCCCGAAAACTGGTGTCGTAGATGCAAGTGCTAGGTAATTGGCGCCAATAGTACGCGCTGCAACAATGACAGTTTGTTGCTGGGGGGAAAAGCGGGCAGCGAGGCATTGTGTTGGCTAGTAGGGTGGGGTGCATATTTTTGTATTCGCATAAATTAATGGGATACTGAGTTAGGCTAACAGAGGGTTACTGTAAGCATTTTAGCAAACTAGAAGTTGTGGGTAAGGTAGTCGGGTTACGGTGGGGTACGGTGGATTACTGTAGGTTGTGTATATTCTTTTTAATATTACAATTATGGGTTAATGTAACCAAGTTGAGTTTGGGGTGCTGTAGCCAAGTGAAGTTCGGGTTACTGTACGTTGTCCTGCAGGGGAAATGACATTTTTGACATCGTCAGCTTGGAAATCAGCTAAATTTCGCATTAAAAAACGCAAATACTAGGTTTAAAGGACACGGGAGGCAAGAATCCAGAGTTCCTAGTAATTTTGTAATTTTTGAGAAGATTAGCGGATTACCGTGAGAAACTGAAGGTGATACGGTAGTTTTGATACACAAAATGGTCCCAACGTAGCCTTAAAAAAATCCATAACTTTTGACTTCCAAGTCCCTTTAAAACGCTAAAATTTGGAAAATCTACTGTAATCCTGCGTCGATTAGAATCCTGAATTTGATTTGCATCTAGAATACTATTTTCTACAGCTTCCCTAGAAACATTTCCCTAGAAAGCGCACACTACCTAGAAGGCCGAGGAGCGGATGCGGTGTGCGTTTCTGGGGAAGCGGATGGGCCTTATAAACGAGGTGGGCGGCTAAGAATTTCTGCTCTTCGCTCTCTCTCTCTCTCTCTCTCTCTCTCTCTGCCTGTTCCGCAACACTACGCTACGAGACGCGCGCACAGCTCCGGGTGACAGCCAAATGACAGGGTGGGATGTGGGCAGCAAAAACTTGGCCCAAGTCGACCGTGGTCTCGTTTGGCCGTGTCAACTGGTCAGTAGAAGCGATCTGCAGGAAGGGATTTTGCGCAGGCTTTGGACGGGTTAAGCGTTGGCGGATGTCTCCTGTGCCCTGGTGGACCGTACGTACTGTTCGTTCGTAGCGTGCTGTAGTGTTTCGTGTGAAAATCGTAGAAGCGCCATGTCGTTACGAATTTTAATTATTGCGTAGAGTTTGGTCGGTATTGGATTGTTAACGGGGGGAAGGCTAATTTTTATTTTTCCGCCGATACCTTGCCTTTAAAGTTACCAAAACATATGAAAAACCTTGCCATTTAAACATTTTTGATATTTTCCGTCGTTTGCCATATGGTTTTGACGGGAAATTCAAAACTTTGCAAAACTCGGTACTTTTTTTACGAGTTTTTCTCTTACTTTGTAAATGGCAATAAAATTGGTGAAATTTCGTTACTATACGGCCATAGCGATTTAATGGGGAAAAATTAGTTTCCGATCATTTCGACCGTTTATTCGAATTTTTTCAGGCGGATACGGACATTTTGGTGTACTGTAGGGTTCTGTAGAGTACTTTAGAGACTGTAGCGGCATCGGGGGGCTATATAGAGTAACTGGACAGTCGTCGATGGCTTAATTTAACCGACAAAACAGTGGTGTCTCCTGTGGTACTAGATCCGAATTTCACTGGCTGCATTAAAAGACCTTCTTCGGGGTCGAACCTCTTAAAATTAGGAACTGTCCTTTTATTATTTTATATGATCCGATTATTCTCCGTCCGACCTATCGTCCGATCCATCCAGGCGATCCGATCCGATCCGAATCGATCATAACCGAGTTGCTATTGATGCAAGATCATTCTCCTATGGCTTATTTTTGATTAACATGACCGATCACATCAACAGATATTACTTCCGTCCCTTTTTCCTACCATCCATCCGATCCTACTCGGATCCCCATCCGTCCGACCGTCCGGACCTTAGATCCGGTCATGGTGAACCTGTTCACTTTAATGCTTGCTCTCGATTTGGCCTAGGTTTTCGGGCGTTCATGGAGTCTTGGAATTTTTGGCTTCTGCAGGGCCTCCTCTCATCCAGATTCTGCATTCCTAACGCCCCAATTGACGTCTTCCTCGGTCTGGGAAATTGGCTGGAACGGGCGGTGAAGAGAGAAGAGGAGGGCACCTCTCCATATCGACTCATTTCCACAGCCGCAGGCGTTTTCTTGGATTTTCGGGATTCAGAAGAGAGAAGCGAGAGAGAGAGAGAGAGCTGAGAAATTCCGGCGTCCGCTTCCCGGTTGTTCCTATGGCTTTCACCGCATCCTCCTCAGGTGTCCCTCACTGCTCCCTTTCTCTCGCCTCTCTCACCCCCTCTCTCTCTCTCTACTCTCTCGCTCTCTCACCCTCTCGCCCTCTGCGCGTCGAGTACGAGACCCTCCTCTTTCCATTCCATTCGCCTCACTTTGCGAAACGGGGCCACGCCGTCCCTCTTTTCCTCCTCCTCCTCCTCTTCGTCTTTCTCTTCGGGACCTCCCCGTGCCGAACACATGCATGCTCCCACACAATCCACAGCCCCCCCCCCGCACCGAGGCTTTCGATTTTTGCATATTCTGGTTTTGTGGGGGCACAGAATTCTTTCGGGGAATCGTTACTACACCTGTCACAAAGTTTTGAGAACTTCAACGTTTTTTCTAAGCCTGCTAAAATCGAGATTTTGGGGATTTCTCTATCCATTTTTAGCTTTAGCCTAAGGAGCCGGAAATTAACTTTTTATAAATGTCCTTTAAAGGGTTTTTAGTGGCTGGGTTTTGGTTAAGTTTTTAGACTTTTATGAGTTCAAGGATGAGCAGTTTAGGTTTTTTTCGCCAATTTTTGAGCGCTTTTCTACAGTTTTTCACTTGCTCAGAATTCGAATTTTTTTATTTTCTGTTTTTTTTGCTTATTTTAGCGCTTTTTAAATTTATCTTAAAGTTTTGCACGGTAAGACCAGTCTCTTTTTGAGGCAAATTAGAATATTTTTTGGCAAATTCAATCTTTCTTGTGACCCCCGTCGTTGGGTATTCGCGTTTTTTCTGTAGTGTTACCTTCTATTTCAATGAATTTCATATTAATTGAACCGAAAACTAACGTCCGTCGGGCACGTTTCTCTATCTAACAGAATGTTTCGGGCGCTCGATGAGTAATTCGGGCCTAGCACACGTCTAGCTCGCGAGACCACACGTAGCCCTTCCATCGATTCTCCGGGGTGTCGGGCTGTTTCGGGAAGTATTTGTGTTGTGTAAATATAGCTCTATTCGCGGCTTGGGAAAGTTTTGTAGTTTGGCCAGACGTCAAACGCTATTTTTGCGCACCGAAATCAACTAGGAAGCCATGTTCTTGCTAAAGTTCCAGTGGATTAGGATTTCCGGGGGAACAAAATTTTTTCGGCCCAAGCCTAAATTTTTTTCTAAATAGCGCATGCGTTTCTAAATGGTTTTTAACTAGAGCATAAAATAAGCATAAAAACTACCCAGATTTTAATTAAAAAATTAATTTTAGGTCGAAAAATCCTATAGAACCTTTAGGATTATCGGGGGGAAGACCCAAAATGACTAAATTTTCGACTTTTTCATACAGTTTTCTAACTTTTTTGAAAGGTTTTTCTACTTTAAATATAGTTAAAATTTACTAAAAACAATGTGAAAACACTTTATATTTGATTACTAGGTCAACCGGGAAAACCGGGGAAAAATTTGGTCCCCCCTCCCCCGGAAATCCTTCCCCCCGGAAATCCTAAAGAACCGTTCCAGTTCTCGAGAGCTGACAAGTTACCGTAGTGAAGCTATACTTAAGTTCTATCGATGCTTTTTGTCGCATTTCAACTTTTGCTTAGTAGAAAGTAAATTATTTTTGACCAATTCATCAAAATAAAGATTTTTCTAGCAGATTTCCGCCGACTACCGTAATTTTTGTGAAATTTTTTGAAGGTGCTGAGCTTTTCCAGATGGTTTTCTCTATCGAAAAAGCCGTAAAGCGTTTATTGCATGATACAAATAGCCGCAAAACGATCCAAATAGCAAGTTTTGCGATGACTTTCCGCCGCTTCCCTGATTACGGTACACACCAGACTACGCTCCAAACTTCAGCACTTTCCGGTTCTTTGTCTCTTGCTGTTCCCCTGTCGTTTCTTTACGGCTTTTCCTTGTCCAAGCCGCCTCCAGCTGATCAGCCCACTCTGCAGGCGGGTGGCGCTATCAATTTTTGCCCGGTTTCGTCAGCTCGGCGCCTTTAAAAGCCCAGCTGGAGGCAAGTGAGGGTTGAGTCACTCCCTGCCCTCTAACGCTACGTATTCTCCCAAAAAATTTACTACTTCTTTCCATCCGTATTCGCAGGATCCTGCTTCTGAATCTGATATTTGAATCTGTTCGTTCGGCATTTCCCAGCCAAAAATCCACAAAAATGTTGCTACTCCAGAAGGCTTGCCAGCAGCAGCACCCCTCCCCGACGATGCCGACCAACGCCGTCGAGCCGGTCCCCGTTGATGCCGACCAGGTGGGAGATGGGGCCTATTTTCCAAAATTCTGATAAATTTTACGTTTTTAATAATTTTTTGTACGCTAAGCTACTGTTTACGCGTAAGTTTTGCCAGTTTTGGCTGGGTTTACTTTGCCAATTCTGATTTTCTCTGGCGAAAACATGAAAATTTGGACCCTCGTCTCTGAAATTTGGACATGAAGAATTCCGAGAACGATAATGGTTAGAGTGCAGTTTACCCCTCCCCCAGGCGGCACCCAACTTTTGTCTCGTGGCTCCCTGTTCCTCTACAGGTGTGTAAAGTATACCAAAATCGTCTTGCTCTGGTGAGTATTTTGGTATACTTTACACACCTGTAGATGAACAGGGAGCCGAGATACGGTAGGTCGGGGGTCGGTTCATGGGGGTAAACTGCACTTCAGCCACGATACTTACCGAACTTGGAGTTACCGTAACATGCCGACTCGTACCTACCCTCCAGCTTTTGTCGATTTTTTGGTTTTCTATCCGTTCTAAGTACCAAAACATGAATTCGAACAGACAACCACTCGTCAGTTTTGCTCCAAATTGACACTATCACGCCCCTGCCATTGTTTTTCTCCACTCCTCCTCTGCGCCCCGACGCGTAAAAGGGGCCAATTTCGGTTCCGCGTGGCCCCGCAATTCCCGGCATTCTCTCTAGGGGGATCAGGGATAATAATAAATCGGAACTTGCGTCATGAATTCTATAGAAAAATAACGGGTAGGGGAATTAGAAGTGTAGCGTAGGGAGAGAAAAACCGAGAGAGAGAGAGAGAGAGAGAAAGCGACAGAGCTATTTCGGGTTTACCATATTTTTCCAGGTGTTGATGAACGAGGCTCCAACCAACGGCCAACGCATCGAGGACGATGACCCGGCTGGGTGCCAGAAGTCGGCGAAAAAAGCGAGGGCCCAGAAGTGGCAGCCGCCGATCCGGGAGAGCTACATTGAGGGTAGGAAAGCATTGATTTAACAGTCTGGGAAGCGTGTGAATCTGCCCCCTTCGATCGACTAAGTGTAGACGGTGGCGCGAAACTACAAAAACGTCATCGCGTTGTTGTTGAGACCTAGCTGGGCAAAACGGGGAGGATTGTCGCGTTTTCCCGATCTTTAGCGCAAAAAACTCTGGCAGTTTTTGGCTGGATTTTGTAGTTTTCATGTAAAGATCTGCCTATAGTACGCTAGACTACAAGTCACAGACTACAAATAATGTGTTTTTAGGCTCCAAATCGCTAGTGATCCTGTTCGGGTGGGCCGGCTGCCGGGACCGCTACCTCCGGAAGTACTCCGAATTCTACGAGAGTTCCGGGTAGGGAAGCTATTTCGCTCTCTCTCTCTCTTTCTCTCTCACTCTCGCTCTCTCTCGCTCTCTCATTCTCTCTCTCGCTCTCTCTCTTTCTCCCTCACTCTTGCTCTCTCTCGCTCTCTCATTCTCTCGTTCTCTCCCGCTCTCTCTCTCTCTCTCTATCTCTTACTCTCTCAATTTCTCTCGCTTCAGAATCTCAAACGTCCGCTTCACGGCCCCGATCTCCCACATCCGCCACTTTGCCGACTATCGTCCCCTCGCCCAGCGCGTCTTCGACCAGGTCTTCGGCAAGGAGGGCGACAACTGGCCGCACGACGTCTATTTCCACGTGTTTAGGTATGGCTCTTTGCTTCAAGGATCCTCTTATGAACCATTTTTTCCAGTATGAACGGCTGCTCGACGTTCTGCGCGCTGTGGGACGCGCTGAAGGGCACCCACTACGAGGCCGCCTTCAAGCAGCGCGTCCAGGGCATCATCTTTGACAGGTGAGGGGGATGGTGTCGTGGTCGTTTGTTAGAGAAAAGAATTGCTCAAGCCGGCGGACTCATGAATTGCTTGATCGGCTCTTGAATACCCGAAAATCTGAACCTCTTCAGCTCGCCGGCCAACGTCTCGCCCAACCAGTCCGCCCGCGCCATCTCCTTCGCCGGCTTCCCCCCACCGACCAGCTCCGTCGTCCGCGAGTCCGTCAAGGGACTGCTGCTCACGTACTTCTCCGTGCAGAGGTGCGTAACGTACTTGATACCGTACTACGTTCGTTTTAGGGCCCGCATCTGGGTGCAGTCGATGTGGGACGAGGGCGTCTACGAGCGCAACTTTGCCTACTACCGCATGCTGGCCATCGACGATTTGCCGCAGAGGTACGGTAGTTTCGGGGTATAACTTCAAAACCAACAGCTACTTTGTAGCCTGGATCCTAAAAAATGTCATTTTTTAGGCAATGCTACCTGTACGGCCCTGGCGACGAGATCTGCACGCACAGCTCGATCGAGGAGTTTGCAGAGTCCCAGCGAGAGGCTGGGAAACAGGTGAGGCGAGGGAAAGAGAGAGAGACAGAGAGAGAGAGAGAGAGAGAGAGAGAGAGAGAGAGAGAGAGAGAGAGAGCAGGGCTCGTTTGGGAACTGAAGGGGCCGGCTAGCGGAGATCATTTAGAAATGGAAGTGGCAGGGTAGCAGAGACCATTTGAGACTGGAAGCGGAAGGCCAGCAGAGATCATTTGGGAATGAAAGTGGGCAGGCTAGCAGAGATCATTTGGGAATATTGCAGACGACCCTGCACTGCTTCCCCGACTCGGCCCACTGCCAGCACATGCGCACCCACACCGAGGAGTACCAGCGCCTCTGCGTCTCGTTCATCAACGACGATGAGTGAGGGCCCGTCGACCCCGGCTGTCACCATCCCTTTAATTAGCTCCCCCACCTACGAGTTGTGTCCCCACCCCCCAAAAACTGGTGAAATTAGCATCAATTAGCAGAATTTTCGTTGTGTTTTCTTGTGCGTGTGTGTGAAAATTAGAATATCCGATTTCGCCCCCATTCCACTTAGCCCCCGCCCGACTGTACTCGTGTTGTGAATTTTTAAAGGGACGGGCAAGGCATGCGTATGGATTTTTGGTCAGGATTTTTGGTCAGAAATCGCTAGAACTTTTGCCGCGCCGCAACACGCAACGTGCAGGCCCTTTTGCTGCCTGAAAAAGTCGTAATCGGTTACGCATTGGAAACGGGAAGGGCTCGTTGCGTCTCGCATGCGCGGCAAAAATTAGGTCCAGTTTAAGTTTGAATTTGAGTTTGAATTAGATTCTGCCGCGACGCGACACGCAACGCCTCCGCCGCATTCGATGGCGTACAAATATCGTAATCCGTTACGCAATGTAAAGTCGAATTTTCGCGTATGACGCGTTGCGTGTCGCGGTTAAATCTCTCGCGCCGCCTGGAAGCTATCAATCGCTCGTTTTTGATACGCCGCGACGCGCGACGCGCACGCAGCCTGACCGTCTAGAAAACGTCGTGAGTCATTGCGAAATGTAAAAAAAGGATTCAAAGCCCGAGCATACGCCTAGCATTTGCGTGTCGCAGATGCGTCGCGTCTCGCCGACCAAGAAAATTCCTGGCCATGCCTTACCCGTCCCTTTAAACAGCTTTTTTCGAGCTTCTCCCCCTTCAGTTAGCTTTAGCCCTCCCTTTGATCTCGCTGCTTTTTCCTAGCTACCCGTCTCGTTTTTAGTTTTATCCAGGAAATCTCGAAAATTCGCCTCCTTACGGCATAATTTACTTTCCTCACCCAGCACTACGGTATCTGATTGGTTGCCCCCGCATAATAGCCTGTGATTCACCCTGAGTTTTGTGTTTTTTCACCCGATTTTCTTACTTGTGCTTTTTATACTATCATTGCTCTAGTCGGCCGGTTGCCACCACCACACCCCGGTGATTGTTGGGATCCTCCGTTTTTTGGTTTATTTATTGCTCCCCCAGATCGAGTGTGTTGTGTTAATAAATTATTGAATTTTATTACAGCGTGCTACAAGCATTACGACATGATATTCACACAAACACACCATGGTGTTTGAAGCGTCGGATTTGAAAAACACGGTTATTGATTATTCGCGGCGGGAACGGCTTTTTTTGCAACAAAGATGTCATTCACAAAAAAAGCATTTCCTCGTGCTCTTCTCTTTGCGCACTTTCTCTTTCTCGCTCACTCGCTCTCTCTCTCTCTCTCTCTCTCTCTCTCTCTCTCTCTCGCACTCATTCTCTCGCTTTCTCTCTACCTCTTTTACTTTGTCGGATTATTGCGCTTAAATCTTGGTTGCTCTTTCCATTTTTTACAGAATAAACTAACTCCAGTGACGTTTACCAGCAAATGTCAACGAATCAGAGATGAAACAGAAATTTGGGATCGTTCGCATTATCGGGGACGAGTTAGAGTGCCGTTTACCCCCCCCCCCTCCCTGTTCATCTACATGTGTGTAAAGTATACCAACATGTTTGCCTTGCTCTCCCGAGTATTTTTATATACTTTACACACCTTTAGATGGTCGGGGAGCCGAGGTACAGTAGGTGGGGGGTTGGCTGGGGGGGTAGACTGAACCATAGCCTTGAAACGACATGGTTTTTTTGGCATCACAGCATTAGAAATTTTTTGGCTCAAACATAGACATCATCATTGATCATATGCATTCAGCATCGGAACCTCGGTCTCCGCTCCGGCGGCACAAATTTTACGCGGCTCAGGAAGGCCTCGTAGTCGGTGTTCAGCGAGAAAGTGTTCGAGTTACACCACAAGAACTTCCCCTCGCACCGCTTGCCAAATTCGACGCCCTTCACGATCGTGAACGTATTGACCGGATATTCGGCCTGCAACATTATTTGGTAAAGGTTGCTTAACGGGGGGACAAATAACGTGGGTGGAAACCACTTTTCCGCTAGAAATTCGTGCCAATTCTAGCATGTTATCGGATAGAGCGTCGCAAAATATACTAAGAGAAATAATTTCTGCCCGACATACCACAATTTCAAATTATTACTTTACTAAGCTAAAAAGCTTAATCAATTAAAAATCGTTAGAAAACGTTTATCGTCTGAAATTAAATCTCTTAGGATGATCTTCGACGCTCTATCCGATGGCGTTTCCAAAATAGCAGGATATTCTTTATAAATACAAAAATTCAAAAACTTACCCTGATGCGCGCGATCAGCTCGTCATCTGATTCATCTTTGCTGAGATAGTTGAACCACCGTCCGACGGCCTGTAATGGTTACGTTTAGATCGGCGCGTGTAAACTTTCTTACCCGCGTATTTTTGGTTTTTAGCAAATTTATTAAGAAAACCTGCTAAATTTTACTTTTTTATTGTATTTAAATATTTTTCGACGCGTTTGAATTTTTTACACGCGTCTAAACGTTTTTACACGTGTCGCCCTCTCACCCCTTACCGTTTCGCGCGCTAGGCTGTACCGGGTAACAGGCTTGCAGTGCTCTCCTGTTCCTTGCCACTCGCATCGTAGGTTTACGCAGTAGGAGGGATCCATTAATACTTGTAGCAAGGGTTCATGATCAGTAGCAAAAACACAGGCAATAAGAAGCAAGACCCAATATAGTAGCATCATGCACACTGAGGACCAGCTGTCTGTGCGCTAAACATAGCGACGCTTGCAACCCTGACCTCTGCCTGGTTATGCGATCCTATCCCTGATTATGCGCTTGGTCTACTTGGTTATGCGCTTGGTCTATTTGGGCTTACAAGGGAAGGGCACGCTCACAGGGTCGAATTTCGAATAACGCTACCTCGGGTAATCGACTACGGAGAACACGATGCCGTTGTCCGATTTTGCTACGGAGGTCTCTCGACAGAGGGACAGCACTTCCGGAAAATGATGGTAAAAATGATGACTTAAAGCGATTTAACGTGCAGGCTAGCAGAGATCATTTGGGAATGGAAGGGGCAGGCTAGCAGAGATCATTTGGGAATGGAAGGGGCAGGCTAGCAGAGATCATTTGGGAATGGAAGGGGCAGGCTAGCAGAGATCATTTGGGAATGGAAGGGGCAGGCTAGCAGGGGCCATTTGGGAATGATAAAAGGGGGTCTCTAAGGGGCCCTAAAAGTTCGATTCATCCCTGTAGACATTTTCCAACGATTGAGAATTCGGCTTTTCATGCCAATCAGCAGACGCGCCCGAATGGCTCCCCGCTATGATTTTTTGGTGCTTCAGTTTAATGGGGACACGTCAGTGTCTCTGATCGCCTCTTCTTCACCCTCCGTGTGTTCCTATCAGCACAATTCGAGAAATCGGTGAGGAACTCTCGGCTCCTCGGCAGAATTAACCCCAAAATCCGACGCTGACTCACCCATTTTTCATTCTCTTTTCCCAAAAATTCGCCAAAAATACCGAAGTGTTGCAATGATTTTGGGAATGCCTCATTGTTCGTACGTGTTTTCCTATTTACGGATAGGTCTTGAGTCACTTCCAGGAAATTATTTTTATTTATTGGACTGTGTTTTTGTTGTGGTTTTGTTTGCTTTTCCATTTGATGGTTTCCTAATCGAAATAAGTTTTTACCAAAATAAGGGTATAAATAGAATTTTGAGCGTAATCAACTTTTATATTTTTTAAGACCTTCGATCAATCCAACATCACACGCCTTACTGTAGCGTCCCGTGTTATACTGTTCTCTTTTATATAGTGCGATACGCTATTTTACGTAAGTACTTTATCGTACTGTACTGTTTCCTACCGTATCGTACTGTACTGTAACATACTGTATAGCACCGTAGCGTACCGTGCTAGCCTGTATCGTACCGTACTATACTGTGTGGTACTGTTCTGTATCCTATCGTGCTGTGTTGTAGCGTACCTTATTGCTGCAATGTATCAAACCGTACAGCACTGTATTTAATATTTTCCCACCCCCCCCTTTTTTTCTTCCCCTTTAATTATCAAAAAAAAACCGGGGGAAAAAATACCGTACTGTACCGCATATTTTGGAACCCCATTAGAGCGTTTGCAGCTTCTCGTACCTTTGACTACGGCATCTTCGACTCTTCCCCATTTTCAACTTATTTTTCAAAAACTCTAGTTCGCCAAAATTCGCGAGGAAACTGTCGCAACCTGCTGAAAAACCTTGAAAACTGCAAAAACCTATCGCTCTATTTTCTTAATCTTGCTATTTGTAGTTTCGCAAACCCCATCCCTTCGTCACCCTGTAGTCCGCGGCCGACCTGTGATTGCAAGAAAGGACAGCAGCCCAGAAAGGATTTTCTGAAGACCGTGTCATGCATAGCAGCACACAGCCAAGGCGGCGGACGGGTCGTTATCAAAACGGGATCCCCTCACAGCTCTCCGTTATCACCATCTGAGTCGGCAGCAGGGGTTGCTCACTCACACAGCTCCCGTCAGCCGGCCAGATCGGATGGAGGGAGGGCAAAACCGTAAAAAGATCGGATCTGGATTTATGCACACATAGAGAGAGAGACAGAGAGAGACAGAGAGAGACAGAGAAAGAGAGGCGCTGGCGAGGAGAAACGAGGATCATCTTGTGCCTATTACGATTACGATGGCCTGACGATTTGACACCGATTTCCCATGGCTGGCTAGCTGAAAATACTGTATTCAGGACCCGGAGCTCGCCTTTATTGGACTGACCGAACTATGCTTTTAAAGGAACTAGAAAGCGCGCAATTAACCCCTACGGCGACTAGGTCTAGACAGTTACGCAACACTCCAAATGACGCTTGAAATCGCGCTGAATTTTCATGAACTTGACTGTTCGAGGGATCTCAAAATCGGATGGGCCTATGTTATCGTCTGTTGCGTAGCTGTCTAGACCTAGTCGTCGCAGGGGGTCGATTTTCGTGTTTCTTGATCTTTGCCTGTAAATTTGCAATTCGAAGCTCTCCGAATACCCGCAACACTCTCCAAGTTCTTGGCTCCACTTCCGGTCCGGGTCAGCTTTTTTTTCTGGCACGTAGAATCCGGGATCCCTTCGGGGATTACCGGATGCCATATAGCCACCCCATGAGAGGGGGTTCTGATCCCTAAAATGTGACCAAATTGCCCCAATCTAAAAAAAGGCGGGCATGCGGATTATGGGTCTCTACGTTGCTTTCTCTCTCTCTCTCTCTCTCTCTCTCTCTCTCTCTCGCTCTCTTGCCGCTACGTGGCGCATCCGCGCGCGCCGCACCGCACCCCAAAATGGACCCCCCCTCGACGCCTCTTTCATTCGGTCATTTTTTCTGTGCCATGGTAATCCGGGAAAAATGTGTGTGGCCCTTTGATGAGGACGCTTTTCGCGGGGTGGCCCTAGAGGAGAACGGTTACCATGGGATCTGATCCGGGGCCAAGGAATCTGGTGGGCCCCAGACAGAGAAAGGGTCCCATTTTCTGTCTTAACCGTCGGTCATTTGTTGCGTGTTTTAAAGGGAGGGGAACAGAGAAGAGAGCGAGAGGGATAGAGAGGGAGAGAGAAAAAGAGAGGGAGAGGTTGAGAGACAGCGAGAGAGAGAGAGAGTAAGAGAGCGAGAGCGATATTTAGAGCTCCCTTTTTGACTCATGACACTCTATATCTTAAAAATTCTAGATTTCTTTTGCTGGCTCTTGCTCACCCGCTGTTGCTCTTCCTCTCGTGCTCTTTCTGTTTTTTATTGGCTTCCAATCTCAAGCTTCATTCTCTCTCTCTCTCTCTCTCGATCTCATCGCTCTCTTGCTCTCTCATGATTTTCCTCATGCTCTTGATCCCAAACTGAACCTAAACTGCGGATTTTTGTGATTTACGTTTGCAATTTTTCGGAGCCGCTACACGCGACCCCTTATCAATTTTTATTTCATTTACTTTTCATAACCTTCCTGAAATAATTACAGCCTACATGCCATTCATTTCTGCGTTCCCTCAGGTTCGATATTTTTCTCCCAGTCCGGTACCTCCCAAACCATATTCCCGCCTGATGAAGGTGTGCCTGATTGCCCCCTCCCCACCCCACTTCCACCTGTAAGCTGCCGCCTCAAAAAAAAAAATAAGAAAAGGCCTTTTAATCAGCGCCGGAAGTTGCCAGCCAGCCATGGAGGTGTCGTCCATTTCCGGTTACCCAATTCTTCTCGTTTCGTTATTTGTTTTCTGGCGATTTAAAAAAGGTGGATCGTAAATTCGGTTTGGAATTTTCGGCCAATTTGTGCTTGTTAGCCCTTTTGTATCGAAATTCCGGAAAGAATCACTGCTAGCCGGCCCATTTCATTCCCAAATGATCTCCGCTAGCCTGCCCCTTCCATTCCCAAATGATCTCTGCTAGCCTGCCCCTTCCATTCCCAAATGATCTCTGCTAGCCTGCCCCTTCCATTCCCAAATGATCTCTGCTAGCCTGCCCCTTCCATTCCCAAAGGATCTCTGCTAGCCTGCCCCTTCCATTCCCAAATGATCTCTGCTAGCCTGCCCCTTCCATTCCCAAATGATCTCTATGATGAGCTCTCTGATCTCTCGCTCTCTATCTCTCTCTCTCTCTCTCTCTCTCTCTCTCTCTCTCTCTCTCTTTCTCTTCGAATTTTAACTCCATCCCCATTTTTTAACCCGACAGTTTCTTCCCTAATCCCAAGAGTCCGCATCTAACCAAATTCCGCACCGGTATTCTCGTCTCATCCTTGTCGCCCACATTTGTAACCCTCTTATCCCCCCCCCCCCCCGGGGTGAGATAATCCCATGCACAAAAACGCCGTGCTCCTAATTCCGGACGTGACTACAGAGGTGGGATTACGGTATCCATCTCCCTAGAGTTCCGTCACTTCCCCCGGTCGAACCGTTTCGGTGTCACCCTGTCCTTTACACCAAAATCTCTTAATTTACCCTGATTTCCGGTCACACCGAAATTTGCGCCGTAATTCAGGGGTCGTAAACCGGTAATTTTAGCCCCCTAAAACGTGGACTGATTTGGGTAATCGCCCATGCGAGTGGAGTGTACTTTTGGGGGCTTAAACTGAATTTGAAGGGGGGAGTCAAAAAGTTATATGAGCTTTGAGCCCGAAAGCCTACTCCAAGCCTAAACCTCAGCCTAATTGCAAGCCCATGCCTAAGCCTAAGCCTAAGCCTAATCCCAAGCCTACCCTACGCAGGAGGGATCCTAAGCCTAAGCATAACCTAAGCCTGCCTAAGCCAAATCTTAACAAGCCTAAGCCCAAGCCCAAGCCTTAAAAACTTATCCCTAGCCTCCAAGATACGTTAAGTATTGAGGATTAGGATAGCGAGCCGATATTTCCAGAGATTCATGGATTCTGGGCAACATGCAGCGACCATTTCGGAATTTGAAGGCGGCCTGACACCAGCCAGACTTCAAGAAATTCAGAGCAACCAGCAGTGATTCTTTCTGTGCATGAGGTAGCGGTACATTTTTCTAAACTCATATGAAAACGAAACGTAAACTCCTCCAAAATCAGGGGCGGACGAGCAGAGATTCGTTGGGAATTTTCACTCATGTTGGCGCCACATCAATAAAGCTAAAAAGTGCTGCTGAAATGAAACTAATCATCCAATTTTTAACTCAATTTTC